TGCAACAGGCGATCCTGGATTTCTTGCAATCACTTGGCCATCATCTGTCGGTTGCGTCATCGATTTCACCAAACATTCGTCTGTCAAACCACTATTACGTAATCGAAATGCTAAACTTTTGGCGATTAGTGAAGCGCTGCTTATTCGATTACATCACCCGACCTTATGAGCACAGAAGTTTTTGATACAAGCAATCCACCCTCCGTAGAGCTGACCTCCTACTTCTAAATTTACTAATCGTTGTATGCTTGTACACGTTTGTTCACCAAAATTGATCAATCCCATGTGCTATATATGTGCCTGTTTGTTTTAAGTCAGCGACTGAGAAGATTAAACGAAATGTTAACATCTCGCGACATTTGTGTTCTTTCTGTTTTGATGAAAAACAGATATATATTTATATACTAATTCCTAGAACATACCAACATTACGCATTGAAGCAAAAAAGTTCAGTGGACAATCTTGTTCTGTGTACCTCAGCAACTGCCTAATACATAACATTTTGCATAAAAAAAGAAACATAACAATTGAACAGTCAAAAGGAGATGTTTATGCTATTTTTCTCAGTCCACAAAGCAGATCCAATCTTTCTATCAGATGCTTTTTGCTTAGTCCCTGTTGTTTGCATGGTTTGGGATGAGGATGAGGTGCATTNAACTCAATGCTTCAAATATCTTTTTTTGTGTAAATCACCGTTTTACTTCAGTGGCATTTTTTGTGAAAAATGATGATTGCATATTGAGTTGAGTTCATGTCTTCATTATTGTCAGTGGTTATAATTCATAAGCAGTTTATTTTTAGTGAAAGATTCCCATCGGAATGCTACCAAAAGACACCTCTGTCTACGCAGAATTGCACGAGCCTGGTGGGGGAATCGGACAAGTAATGCTGAGGTTACACGCAGCGTTTTAGGTAATGGCCGTCGTCAAGATGTCCATCACGACGAGACTGCATCTTGACGTGGTGTGATGGCTTGTGCACCTCTCTGACCCTGCAAACTACAAAGGATGGCTCTGTCAAGCCAAAGATCTAATCATGCCTGGAAGGTCGAAGAGTTGAGGCCGGAAAAAGTCCAGTCTCCTGGTCCTCCAGGTTGGGGGTTCGACTAGAATTTGTGTTTCAGTCGGTAAAATATGGTCAAGGAGTAATTGATCCAAGCAAATGGGCCTCCACTTCGCTTCACCCGCTGCCTTGCGGCTAGGTTCTTGTCAGAACTAAAGGCTTCGGTTGAAAACCCTAATTGTTCTTCTGCTTGGTGGCTGGACACCCTAGCTGAAGCCGTCCATTAAACCCCAATGCATATGCATTGCGAGTTTGGTAGCGATCAGTGAAGTTTGCTTCGCTGTGTTTCATTATACGAAAATAATAGTAATTCTGATAATAATAATAATTGCTGTCGTCCACTGGAACAAGTGGTTGACCCACATTGATTACTTTGGTTCAGGCATGTGTTGCGCCTGTCACTAAATAGCTTTCCACGGCGCACGATGTTTGCCAAGTCAGTTAGCGGCTGGAAAGTGTTCAAGGGCGGTCAAACTAAGATCTGACATGAGGGCATAAAAACCTACCCAAGACACTGGATCACATAGGTCCCGTTAAGCTCCCTAGATGGGGGCCGCGAGATCATGGTAACCGGAGGTTAGGGACACTTAGCAATATGACTGGCTGTCGCAAACAGTGACGCTCGTGCATCTACTTATTATTCTTGTAACATCAGTCTACATGAATTTTCTATTTTCCGCTGTAATTTGCTCTCAACATTCCAATCTACATTCTACTCTTTTATCCAAATGGACAGCCAAAAGACAGTAACCAAAACCGGCGCATATCAATGCATGGCTAAGGGTTACAATGATTAAAACTATCAAAGAGCAAAGGATATGGTGAACAAACTTGTTTTTGTAACTTTGTCTTCAGGCATTGACAATTTATCAGAATGAAACAAACATGATTAGTTTATCAAGGTAGATAGTAGAAAGCAATATTGTTCGTCCAATCCTGTGGGAACACATAGAGAAGGGAAGGGGGGTCAGGGTCATTCCTGGAAATTTCCGTTGACCTCTGGTCACTCGCGATGTTTCATCGTAACTTGATTAGGGTCATGGTTCGGTTTGGGGAAGGGAGGGGGAGGGGCCAAGGCAACTGGAGTGCAACAACCATTTTGTTCTGTCTGCATAGTGATTGGTTCAGGATTCTAACTTCTATTGCTTCTGCCGTTGCCCACCCTACTTGGACTTGTTTTGGGGCACTTTGTAAACGAAGTTAAAAGCAATGTTGTCTATCTGGTGCCCAGTATCAGCAAGGTCGGCCACAATTGCACCGGTTATTGTTTTTTACATACCGTGCTTTTAGCCAGACCGATCCATGCTCTCGGATTCTTTGTTAAAACTGTCCCATCATACGTTCTACGTAATTTGCAGAACATTTGCAGGTATGGGAATGCGTGATCATGGCGTGACACGTCTAGCGTGAATAAAAGGTGATCGGAAATTTCCAGAAGTAACTTTGATTCCCCCTCCTTCTGTGTGTTCCTGCGGAACGTGACAAGCAATGTTGCTCTTTCCTACTTATCTGAATGAACCAATCATTTTTGTTTCATTCTCATAGATGCACATCTAACTGCAAATGTCCGAAGACGACGTTTGGTTTTGATCCAAAAGAATTCAAATTCGCTAGCAAACTTCTTCGTTCCTTCCTTTTTTGATGATGGTTCGTACTGCAGAGTACTATCCTACTGGGAGAGTATACTACATATTCTTACTGTCTACGTGTACGCGTGAAGACAGGCGTGATCTTATAATTTCCGGCTTTTCTTGCTAGCGGAAATGGAATTGAACATGTCATCCTACTCCGAACGGTTCTGCTGGCACAATTTTATCTAAAACTATTTGTGTGTATTTTCAACCGTAGGATTTATGCAACATATAAACTCATGGTTTGAGAGCGTGGTAATTTTCACTGGTATCCGAGAACAGTTGTCCGATGTGTCAGTATGTACGCATTCCTGCTGTTCTCCCAGTAGCATGCGTTAGAAAAACCGTTCATAGATTACTCGTCTCTTCTCTCTCACACAATGTCATTTGTGTGTGTACTCTGATTTTCAGATGATTCTGGACACATCGCGCAATTTTTTTCAATATCGAACCCTGCTGACTGCAAACGATGCGGCTGCACCGATGCTTCCCTATCTTCCGTTGGTGCTGAAAGATCTCACGTTCATTCACTTGGGCAACCCGTCGCGTACAGCTGATGGGCTGATCAATTTTGTGAAGTTGCGTATGCTGGCCAAAGAGGTAAACAAACGTTCTCAACGCGCTATCCCTCCATCCCCGCCCATGGGTTACGTATGATCACATAATGATAATCATCATTATTACTATTCTTTTTATGATCAACAATAGTAATATAGTTTGAAATGATTAAGGACTAGTCCAACTGGAGATGGGGCGGGGATAAACAGATGCTAAATTTTGGCAACACCATTCACGGCCACAACCCAAAAAAATGCGACAGTGGCTTGCGTTATGGATAGTGCGCTATCCAATGAGAACGGTTGTCTGTCTTCTTGTGAGTAACCAATAAACTGGCTACTTCAACTCCGATCGCATTGGTGCTAATCACTTTCAATATCTGATACAGAACAAAATCGCACACCAAATGTAAGTGGACTCTTGTCCAGTCTAAAGTCAACCGCCGATGACACTGTAAAGCGATTTGATCAGTACGGTTGACCAATAATGATACAAGACTCATCAGACTGATATCTTCATAACATCGGATGGTCTGCGCATATTAATAGCCCGACGAACCATAAAGGATGTCGTTTTCTTTAGCCAGCGGTTTTATACAGATGAAACTGTCCAGTCCCCTAGTCGTCTAGGTTGTGCATTTGACTCTAACAGGCATCTCAACCGAAAAAATATAATGGAGGAATGGTCCATCCGACT